ATCTGAGATCTCTTTTGTTCGTGTTTATTTATATAAATCACTCTCATTCTTCTCGGGGTCTTTTGTCTTCTTTGTGGGTCCTTCCACCCAGAATATCAAGGCAGAATATCCCACAATATCTGCTTTGAACTGGGTTATCTGAGTCCACACTGCCATCTATTTCAGAATGTGAGATTTTATTCAGCTGTGTGGAAAGGGCCCTAGCTGCAGCCTCTCTGGCCTGGTGCTGAATGGACAGCTCCTTTCCTTACAAAACTAAAAAGGGAAGCAGCAAGAGAAGCCGGTCTTTTCCACCAAGGCCCCTTCTACCCTGCGTTATAAAATCCAGATTATCTAATCCGATTAGCAGTGTAGTCATATAATCCAGATCAAAGCAGATAGTGTGGGTTGCATATGGAAGTGTAGATAGGGCCAAAGAAATAACCAGACAAGCAGTGGTTCCCAACCTGGTTTGTTTAGTTATTTTGGCCTACCGGCTGTTAGGAATTCTGGGAGTTGAAGTCCAAAACACTGGTGGTGCAGTGGGTTAAACCGCTGAGCTGCTGAACTTGCTTATCAAAAGGCTGGTGGTTTGGTGGTTCAAACTACAAGGAAGGAGATTCCATCTGAACATTAGGAAGAACTTCCTGACTGTGAGAGCTGTTCAGCAGTGCAACTCTCTGCCCCAGAGTGTGGTGGAGGCTCCTTCTTTGGAAGCTTTTAAACAGAGGCTGGATGGCCATCTCTAAGGGGTGCTTTGAATGCAATTTTCCTGCTTTTTGGCAGGGGTTTGACTGGGTGGCCCATGAGGTCTCTTCCAACTCTATGATTCTACTAGCCGTCCCCTGCCATGTGTTGCTGTGGTGCACATGGGGGTTCTGTTTGGGGGGTTTGGCCCAATTCTATCGTTGGTGGGATTCAGAATGCTCTGTGATTGTAGGTGAACTATAAATCCCAGCAACTACAACTCCCAAATGTCAAGAGTCTATTTTCCTCAAACTCCACCAGTGTTCACATTTGGTCATATTGAGTATTCGTGTAGAGTTTGGTCCAGATCCATCATTGATTGAGTCCACAGTAATCTCTGGATGTAAGTGAACTGATCCCAAACTAAAACTCCCAAACCAAAGGACACTGCCCACCAAACTCTTCCAGTATTTCCTGTTGGTCATGGGAGAACTGTGTGCCAAGTTTGGTCCAAATCTATTGTCGGTGAGATTCAGAATGCTCTTTGATTGTAGGTGAACTATAAATCCCAGCAACTATAACTCCCAAATGACAAAATCAATTTTTTGAGTGAAGGACATACATTGGGTTATTAGGTGTCTTGTGTCCAAATTTGGTGTCAATTCGTCCAGTGGTTTTTGAGTTCTGTTAATCCCACAAACAAACATTACATTTTTATTTATATAGATTCTATGAATCTGGGGAGTGGCCTGAGCTCCCACTGTTAGGCCCAGCTTCTGCCAACCTAGCAGTTCGAAAACATGTAAAAGTGAGTAGATCAATAGGTACCGCTCTGGCGGGAAGGTATGGGCACTCCATGCAGTCATGCCAGCCGCATGACCTTTTAGGTGTCTACGGACAACGCTGGCTCTTTGGTTTAGAAATGGAGATGAGCACCAATCCCCAGAGTTGGACACGACTGGGCTTAATGTCAGGAAAAACCCTTTGCTGCCTACCCAGCCACAGAGAGGATATAAGGAGCTAGCCTTGGGACTGATCTTCGGGAGAAAAGTATTTGTCTTATCTTGGTGGTAGATGCTGCTGGTTTTCCCCCAGGTTTGTGGATTTTCGGTGTCTTGACCTGTCTCCTGAACCTTTGGAATCCTTGAACCTTGGACTGGTTTTTGGCTACGGGATAGACTCCTGATCCCTGGACTTTGTTTATTGAACTCTCGGCGTTTGACCACTGGACTGGACCATTTGACTACGGAGTTATCTTGAACCTGCAACAGTGTTTGCTGTTTTTGTTTTGTATTCTGTGGCTGAGTGCAATCTTTATGTTTTGGACTATTAAAACAGCCAGAAAGTAAGTGCTGAAGACGCAGGTTCGCAGCTTGGTAGTGATCCTGGACTCATCGCTGAGCCTGGAATCCCAGGTCTTGGCGGTGGCCGGGAGAGCTTTTGCACAATTAAAAATTGTGTGCCAGCTGCGCCCATACCTTGGGAAGTCGGATCTGGCCACGGTAGTCCACACTCTTGTTACATCCCCATGAGATTACTGCAACGCACTCTACGAGGGGGGTTGCCTTTGAAGACTGTTCGGAAACTCCAACTAGTCCAGTGTGAGGCAGCCAGATTGCTCACCGGAGCATCATATACAGGGAGCATACCACCCCCCTGTTCCACTGGTTGCCGATCCAGTTCCGAGCACAATTCAAAGTGCTGGTTTTGACCTACAAAACCCTATACGGTTCCGGCCCAGTGTATCTGTCCGAACGGATCTCCCTCTACGTCCCACCTCGAAGTCTAAGATCTTCTGGGGACACCCTGCTCTCGACCCCACCTCTATCACAAGTAAGATTGGCGGGGACGAGAAGCAGGGCCTTCTCGGTGGTGGCCCCTCACCTGTGGAATTCACTCCCCAGGGAAATTAGAACAGCGACATCCCTCCTTTCCTTCAGGAAAAAACCGAAAACATGGATTTGGGACCAGGCATTCGGACAATTGGGCAGATAAAGAAGGTTTTCGACAATGGACAAGAATTGACAAAGTGGAATGGAATTATGGAACTCTGAAAGACGAACGCTGAGCTTGATATTAGTTTTTATTGATTGTGTCTTTATTTTTATTGATTGCGTTATATACTGACTGTTTTAATTGTGATATTTGTTGATTGCTGTTTTTACATGTATATGTATTCTATGTAGGCATCAAATTGTGCCTTTTTTGTAAGCCGCCCTGAGTCCCCCCTCGGGGGTTGAGAAGGGCGGGGTAAAAGTACCCGAAATAAATAAATAAAATAAATAAATTAAACTGCTTGATACAAACTGGGTATGTGTTTGGTTCATCTCTACCTAAATAACGGTAGAGCCCTGGCAACGTGACACGCAGTGGGTTAAACTGCTGAGCTGCTGAAATTGCTTAGCAAAAAGTTAGTGGTTCGAATCTGGAGAGTGGTGTGAACTCCCTCTGTTAGGCCCAGCTTCTGCCAACCTAGCAGTTCGAAAACATGAAAATGTGAGTAGATCAATAGGTACCGCTCTGGCGGGAAGGAAAGGGCACTCCATGCAGTCATGCCGGCCGCATGACCTTGGAGGTGTCTATAGACAACGCCGGCTCTTCGGTTTAGAAATAGAGATGAGCACCAACCCCTAGAGTTAGACAGTACTGGGCTTTTACTTATGCCCGAAGAGCCCCTGGTGGCGCAGTGGGTTAAACCCCTGTGCCGGCAGGACTGAAGACCGACAGGTCGCAGGTTCGAATCCGGGGAGAGGCGGATGAGCTCCCTCTATCAGCTCCAGCTCCTCATGCGGGGACATGAGAGAAACCTCCCACAAGGATGATAAAAACTTCAAATCATCCAGGCGTCCTCTGGGCAACGTCCTTGCAGACGGCCAATTCTCTCACAGAAGCGACTTGCTCCTGACATGACAAAAAAAACCCCAAAAAACCTATGCCCGGCTCCCCAGCCAGAGAGAGAAGGCAGGGCTCTGTGACCCGCCAGGAAAATCCAACAAATGCTACATTCAGCAGACCTCATTACCTCTGAGGATGCTTGCCATAGATGCAGGCGAAACGTCAGGAGAGAATGCCTCTAGACCATGGCCATATAGCCCGAAAAAACCTACAACAACCCAGTGATTCCGGCCATGAAGGCCTTCGAAATTCTCATGGTGGTTCGTGAAAAGGCCTTATTGGTGCATTATTTAAACTGTTATGTGAGAGCTGGACCTTAGGGAAGGCTGAGCGAAGGAAGATCGATGCTTTTGAGCTGTGGTGTTGGAGGAAAGTTCTGAGAGTGCCTTGGACTGCGAGAAGAACCAACCAGTCCATCCTCCAGGAAATAAAGCCCGACTGCTCATTGGAGGGAAGGATACTAGAGACAAAGTTGAAGTACTTTGGCCACATCATGAGGAGACAGGAAAGCCTAGAGAAGACAATTATGCTGGGGAAAGTGGAAGGAAAAAGAAAGAGGGGCCGACCAAGGGCAAGATGGATGGATGGCATCCTTGAAGTGACTAACCTTGAAGGAGCTGGGGGTGGTGACGGCCGACAGGGAGCTCTGGGTGGGCTGGTCCATGAGGTCACGAAGAGTCGGAGACGACTGAACGAATGAACAAAACAAAAATTCTTCCCAGTAGTGATATGTTTTCGTATTTCCATCTCTCTAGATCTTTGTGTATTTTGTTCCATAGCTGCTCGGGGGCTTCAGCCCCCCCCCCCCTAAATTCTCATGGTGGTTCGCGAAAAGGCCTTACTGGTGCATTATTTATGTTATGTTTATTCATATCATGATCTGATCACCATACTCAATATATCCCATATGCATGGGGGTATTGGGGTAACGATACAAAAGGTTTGCTGGGGTAGACCCTCTTTCACTCAGACTCAGCCCCCCCCCCCAAAAATCCTGTGAGTAGATCAATATGTACTGCTCCAGCGGGAAGGTAACAGTGCTCTATGCAGTCATGCTGGCCATGTGACCTTGGAGGTGTCTATGGACAACACCAGCTCTTCGGTTTAGAAATGGAGATGAGCAGCAACCCCCAGAGTTGGACAGTACTGGGCTTTTACCTATGCCCGGCTCCCCAGCCAGAGAGAGGAGAAGGAGGGGCTCTGTGACCCCGCCCCTTCCTTCCTGCCTGCCTGCCCCTCTTTCCCACCTGCCTGGCTGGGGAGCCGCCCTTGGAGGCCGGCCGCCCACCTCGCCTGCTGGGGGCGCTACAGGAGCCCCGCCCCCCTGCGCCGCCTTCCCATTGGCCCGCCTCTGTCCTGACCACGCCCCCTCCTCCGCCGCGTCCCTTTGTACTTTCTCTCACGTGACTCGCGAGCGGCGCGAGGTAGGCGAGGAGGGAGGCGCGCGCCCCCTCAAGCCCGGCCGCGGCCCCGTCTGTCGCGCGCCAGGCAGAGCCAGCCAGCCAGCCAGGCAGCATGGCCGAGCGGAAGCGGGCTTGGAACACGGAGGCCGACCTGCCGGTGTACCTGGCCCGCCCGGGCACGACGGCGCAGACGCCGCGGCAGAAGTACGGCGGGATGTTCGCGGCGGTGGAGGGCGCCTACGAGAACAAGACCATCGACTTCGAGGCCTACAGCGTGGGCCAGAAGGGCTCGCGCACCCCGCGCAGCGGCAGCCGCCACGACCTGCTGGACGGCGCCGGCGGGGACAACGGCAGCGAGGCGCCCAGCGACGCCAGCGAGGTCTCCGGCTCCGTCGTCAGCTCGCCCGGCGCCGAGCGCGACCACCGGGGGACGCCCGGCGTGGCCATCCGCTGCCCGCCCGGCGCGGACAATGGCAAGGTACGCGGCGCGAGGAGGAGGGGGCGGGGCCGGCGGGGGGGAGAGGAATGCGCAGCGCCAGGCCCCTACAGTGGCCCAGTGGGGTCCCTGGAAGGCGCCCCCACTTCGCCTGCCAGGGCTGCTCCAGAGGGGAGGGAAGCCTACCCAGGCCTTCCTGCAGCATACCTTCCCAGCAAGGGTTAGAAACCACTTCGGGGGGAACCAACTGCTTGGTTTGAGGCCCAGTCTTTGGATGGTTTCAAAAGCAGGCTGGACAGCTCCTCTGGGGAGATTCTAGTTCACATGTGTCAATATGCCATTGGGCGGGATCCAGCCCTCCATGTCATTTTATGTGACCTCCAGAGGCTTGGTGGGTTAAACCCCTGTGCAGGGGCGGCTCATCTATTACGCGAAGTAAGCGGTCGCAGAACACTTTTTTTTGCCAGGGGCGCAGATGCGCCTCTGTAAATGCCCCTCGACCGCCACTTGAGGAGCGCCCCCTCAGCTCACAACAGCCCTAGCAGTCCAGGGGGAGCCTCGGCTTTCTTGCCTCGCTGCCGGGCGATCCTCTTCCCAAAGGGGCCGGGCCCTTGAGCCTCGCCTAGCCCCTCTCGTTCCTGCTCCACCCGGCCACAGGGTGCGCGAGCAGAGCCGGCGCTCAATCGTTCTCCGCGTTCGATCCCTTCCCCATGACCAGCTCCCTTTCCCGATCCCCCGGCGCTCCACTCACCTCCTCTCCTCTCCCCAATCCGCGGGTGGTCCAAGGGGTGGAGATGCCGCGCCTGGCCCGCTTCGGGTCCGGAGGCGTGTCTGAAGACCCCAGCGTGCGCACCAAAAGTCGCCTCTTCTCCTGACTTTCTCTTCAGCCATTGGGACCAAGAGAGAGAGAGAGAGAGCCCCTCCGGCTGGAGGTATCTCCCACCTCCGCTCCCTCCTTTGTTTTTGCGCCTACCTTCAGGAAAGGTGGGCATCTCCACCTCTCTCTCTCTCTCTCTCTCTCTTGGTCCCAATGGCTGAGGAGAAAGTCAGGAGAAGAGGTGAATTTAGGTGCACACGCCGGGGGCTTCAGGCACGTCTCCGGACCCAAAGCGGGCCAGGCAAGGGAGCAAGTGCGGCAAGTGTAGTTACTGGGATGTATAGTTCACCTACAATCAAAGAGCATTCTGAACTCCACCAATGATGGAATTGAACCAAATATGGACACAGAACTCCCACAACGAACAGAAAATATATATCAATGATTGGTGGGGGGGGGGGGCAAAATACTGTTTGCTTACTGTTGAAAATTAGCTAGGGCCGCCTCTGCCCCTGTGCCAGCAGGACTGAAGACCATCAGGTCGCAGGTTCAAATCTGGTGTAAGCATGGATGAGCTCCATCAGCTCCACCTCCCCATTGTGGGGACATGAGAGAAGCCTCCCACAAGGATTGTAACACATCAAAAGATCCGGGCGTCCCTTGGGCAACGTCCTTGCAGACGGCCAATTCTCTCACACCAGAAGCGACTTGCAGTTTCTCAAGTCGCTCTTGACACGACCAAAACAAACCAACAAAAAAAACTGGGTTGCTGTGAGTTTTCCGGGGTGACTGGCCGTGTTCCAGAAGCATTCTATCCTGAAGGGAGATACAAACTTCTTAGATAAATAAATAAATAAAATTGACACTGGATTTGGACACAATACACCTATCAGGCCAACGAATGGCTGGATGGCTCTCTGTCAGGTGTACTTTGATTGTGCTTTACCGGCATGCTGTTGGGTGCAATCCAGCCCTTCATGTCATTTTTGTGGCCTCCAGAGGCTAGACTATACCTCCTGTATCCCTCATAGAATCCTAGAATAATAAGAGTTGTGTTGCTGAAGTCTTTCATGGCTGGAATCACTGGGTTGCTGTGAGTTTTCCGGGCTGTATGGCCATGTTCCAGACACATTCTCTCCTGACATTTAACCCATATCTATGGCTGGTATCCTCAGAGGTTGAGGGGTCTGTTGGAAAGTAGGCAAGTGGGGTTTATATTTCTGTGGAATAATGTCCAGAGTGGGAGAAAGAACTCTTGTCTGCTTGAGGCTTCCTTGATTAGCACTTGATTAGCAGAGCCATGTATTCTGTTGGGCTGCAGTTCCCAGTATCCCCATACTGCGTGATGGATAATCAAAAGTGATGGGAGTTGCCATTCAGTAGCATCTAGAGACTGTTCTTTGGATGTTTTCAGAAGGGGGCTTTACAGCTACCACCCTGGGGAGGCTCTAGCTCAGGCATGGGTAAGCTTCGGCCTTCCGGGTGTTTTGGACTTCAACTCCCATAATTCATAACAGCCTACAAGCTGTTAGGAATTATGGGAGTTGAAGTCCAAAACACCTGGAGGGCCAAAGTTTGCCCATGCCCACTCAAACTCATAAGTGTCAACCTCAAGGCCAGTGGGCCAAATCCCTCCCACCATGTACTTTTATGTGGGCTACACCTCCTGTCTTCATCATTCGACATCATGACAACTGTGATGGGAATTGTGATGCAGTAATACCTGCTCTATTCAGTCAGGAGAGTGGGTTTTGCATTCAGATACAAGGCTTGTGTGTATGATGTCTGAGTTTAAAATATCCTTTCACCTTTCCCCAAACCAGAGCCACAAGTCCTGTTGGGTTGCAATTCCCATTATCCCCAAAAGCGATGGGAATTGTTGTTCAATAACATCTGGGATCCAAACTAGGTAAAAACTAAAAAGCACTGACCACTATGTAAAAACATTGTAGTTGGCCCTCTGTATCCAAGGAGTCTCCTGAGAATGGCCCTTTGAAGGCAACCACCAGGATGATGTGGCCCTCCATGAAAAGGGGTTTGCTAGCCCTGCTTTAGATGAAGTTCAGCCCTTCCTGGTCAGTTGAACTCCCAGTGAGGCCCTTTAACTATGAGTAATAATAATAATAATAATAATAATAATAATAAAACAACCTTATTTATATTCTGCCCTGTCTCCCCAGGGGTACTCAGGGCAAATTCTGAGGTTCTTTTCCTTTTTTTCAAAGTAATTTTTATTCAAGGGAAAAACAAAACATACAAGTGTATTGTTTAGATATATATAAAACTAGAAAATCACACAATTACATACATACATGATTGTGGAGAGAAAAAGTGGGGTATTATTATTATTATTAATATCTACCTCTATAGAGCTACAACTAAGTGACTATTAAGAATGACAGGACAGAAAAAACAAACACGGCAAACTCAGCAAAACAATACCCAATACCCAGAGAACAATTTTCCCAAGTCCGAGATATCACTGGACTGGCATATTACACTGGTGGTGGCTTTCCCTTCAGGAGCTTAATGAGGTGTCAGCCAATACAATGTCATTGACCAGAAGGCTCTAAAAGGACTGGTTTGTGGGAAGAAGCAGCCCTTCTCCACAAGTGCCGACCTCAGTGATAGGCCCAGTGGAGAAATTAGCAAGCACAGCATAGGCTGGGAGAGTGACCAAAGGGGCTGGTTGCTATCCCTGTCTATCCAGAAGATTAGGAAGATTTGTGAAACCAAGTCATCCTCTGTGGAAGGCCTGATGTGTCACAGCTTGGCCAAGGTAATCAGGAATATGCAATGGTGTCTCCCCCTTAACACATTCCCCAGATTTTCTGAAATAACATATCCTAAGCAGATCAAAATCAGTTAAGTTTGTGAGACACACCTAAGTTGCTAAGTAGGAAACCTTTTCTAGAACAGACCATCTGGCTTGTAGGTATACTAGCATGTATGACTGAGATTCTCAGACTTGCACCACTGGAGAGAATTACTCACTTTTGGAGGGGGGGGGGAGGTGTCCAGAGTGACTTAAGAAACTGCAAGTCAATTCTGAAGTGAGAGAATTGGCCTTCTGCAAGGATGTTGCCCAGGGGATGCCCCAGATATTTGTTTTACCATCCTTGTGGGAGCTTCTCTCATGTCCCCACATGGTAGAGGGACAGAGGGAGCTCAACCCGCTCTCCCTGGATTTGACCCACTAACCTGTGGGTCAGCAGTCCTGCTGGCACAAGGGTTTAACCCATTGTGCCACCAGGGGTATTTTGATATATTTAGATATTATTATTATTATTATTATTATTATTATTATTATTATTGTTTTTATTTATATCTTGCCTTCTCTCTCCATATGGAGACTCAAAGCGGCCCACAATTAAAAGTATTACAATACAACTTAAAATATACAGTATACAACTATTAAAACAGTATTAAATATCATTCATATTAAAAACAATTAAAGTTTAAACCATAAAATCATAAAAACGACAGCACCCCCTGACTTAAACATCTTCATCTTTAAATGCCTGTCTGAATAAAAAGGTTTTACCTTGCCACTGGAAGGACAACAAGGAAGTGGCCATTCTGGGCAGGGAGTTCCAGCGTTAAGGGGTGGTCACCGAGAAGACCTGCTCTCTCATTCCCAATTGACATTGTTAACTGTTAGCAGGTCAATTTTGACATATGGTGACCCCATGGATGAGAGATGTCCATGGCTTTCGTGACCGAGTTTCAGTTGAGTCATTTTGCCTTCTAATGGAAGACCAGTCTTAATTTGTTCCAGGGCCTATTTATTAGTGATTTTAACAGTCCATTGTATCAGTGAAATTCTTCTCCAGCATCACATCTCAAATTATTTGCTTTCTATCAGCATGGTTTACTGTCCAGCATTCACAATGATATATAAAAATTGAAATATGATGGCATTCACAACCCTAACTTTCATCTTCAGTGATAGATGTTTACACTCCAGGGTCTTCAGCTCATTCATAGCTTCCCTTCTGATGTTTTGATAGCAGTCTCCATTCTGATGAATGGCTGATATGGAAAATCTTGAATGATTTCAATGGTCTTCATTGCCTACTTTAAAGTTATATAAATTATCTGTGATTAACACACATTTTGGCACCTCATATGTCAGACCTGTTTCTGGATATATTTGACCTGCTGATTCCAAAAACTGCACAATTTCCCCCTATCTGTCCTAGTTTTTGTGACACAGAACATATGA